AGGAGGAGGGGAGAGATTTATCTTCGCTTCAAAGATTACGTAAATTACAACGAGAGTTCCCATTCCAAAATATGTATCTTTTTTCTCTTTTCGACATCATGGTTTACACGAGCATATCGTACGTGACATCACCGGACGAATGTTGTGTCGGAAGAGGCGACCTTTCGGAGCGCGGCATCGCGCAATGGTCGCGATAACAACGTTTGATACGTGCATGTGTGCAATAGGGCGTTACGCAAACGCGTGCCTCTTACCTGCTGAGAGCCGAGACTGCTGAGAGAGGCGCGCGTGCACGTGTTCAGTGATTCAGTCCCGACGCCATTGAGAAGAACGCGCTGGAAAGAATGTATGATATGCAGTGATGAAAGGAACGAAAAGGAACTTTATTAGAGTTCGATAGGGCCAATCTTGGGTAAATTTTCATTACTGTCACATCCCAAGCAGAACCACAGGTCATTACAATGTCATTATAATGTCAAAATGATTCCAAAACGATCATTAAAAGTCATTTTTCAATCATTTCCGATTCATTTTAATGTCATTTTGACGTTATCGTGACTTGTTCTGCTTGGGATAAGTCCGAGGATTGATCAAGAATGCATTTGTTAATTAATTTGTTTGATCGTTGATATAATAAATATTAATAATATTCAACATTTAACTTTAGTAACTTATACATATATATATTTCCAGATATACCAATAAATGTATTAAAAATAAATTTTTCGAAATTTTTTCGAATCTGTTATATATACATATAACAGAGAGAATCTGAAACAATTAAGTTGTCAGGAAACAAGCTAACGACAATTAATAACGTCAGCTTGTTTCCATTGCAGTTTCCTAGGAGAATAGAATATGATGACATTCTGCTGATTACAAGATAAATTCAGCTTGTTTCCATTGCAGTTTCCTGGAAGAATAGAATATGATGACATTCTGTGTCGACTACAGAAAAAAATTCAGCAATAGAATATACATTACTAAAAACTCAGGGATGCCATATTTTATTGAGAAAAATAGTTATGAAATAACATCTTTTGCTCTATTCTGATGTTAGTAATCTTCTATCGGATTACATCAGCAGGCTGTGTTGAACATGATATAAAAAAAAAACTTAACGCGGACGTAGTTGATACCTACTACGATATTCTGTTTGAATTTGCTGACAAAAACTGTCAGCATACTTTTAACTCCTGCTCACTGCTGAGAGTCAACGAAGGTGATTGGATTAATGCACGAATATTTAGTCCCGAGAACTGAATGCACAATCAAACCAACATTGACGAGTCATTAATTTGAACAAATTCAATCTGTAATATAGAACAAATATTTGTCTTGTATTTATGCGAGCGAAGGGATTCGATTGCAGAGATAAATTTGGGCAAATTACGTAAATAATTCAGTGCGTAAAGCGCATGGCAAAGACAGTTTGGTCAATGACGGAAATCGAAAGTAACAAACAGCCGATGATTATAATATTTTATAAAGATCTTGAATCAAATTCCATTCTATTTTACCCGTCCGTATTATTTGCTATACATATATATTCTTTCCGAATAATCCTTCTAAATCGGAGAAATCTTATCTTGGGTTTCACATGGCGATAAACTCGGTAGGTAAAAGCGAAACGCGTCACAATGTTGATAAAGTGACTCGTTGATGATATCGATGTGTTTAACTAATTCACTTAAAATTCATTATCATCTAATGATATATATTATTATTTGTTGATTAGGGGTGACACAACATTGGACATTGGATCCACTCGACACTCGCAATGTTCATGGAATCATTTTATTTCTATTTATCAAATGTTAAATAAGAACAAAAGCTTGCGAGTATTGTGAGCGCTAAATAAAACGCACCTATAAACCCCATATTATATTACTATGCATTAAAGATTTTGAATTAGAGAAAATTCGACCAATGTGACACGTTAAGACCCAGTTTCACAACTGACGGTTAACTCTTAAGTTCAACTTATTCATTATCTCTTTTCAATTCTAGAATTGGAAAAAGGTGACAAATAAGTTGTTAACTCTTAACCTCAGTTAAGAGTTAACAGTGAGTTGTGAAACTGGGCCTAAGTCGATCGTGACTCGCGATTATTATCTATAGGTCTGTTCTTTTTGGCTCTCTTTCCTGCTGCAGCAGGAGAAAAGGAAGAAAGGTGAACTAGTGCAAAAGTTCAGCCAAAAAGAACAGGCCTTATATGTAAGATAGGAATTTAAATTCTCACATAATGAATAATTTATAAAGGATTTTAAGAGGACGAATTTTCCATGATTCAGCTATAATTAATGTTGAGATCTTTAGAGATCTTGTGAGTTTTTATATTGATGAAATATCATGAAAAATAACAAGTCACCGTTGAAATATCTATTTGTTTTCTATATCTGCACATATTTAGCTGATTTGACTTTTGTCGAAATAGGGAAATTCTCGAAATATTTCATACATCCGCTCCTTAAAGGATAGGAAGTTTATTCCTACCAGAATAAAGTAATAAAATCAATAAAGTAGATTATAATTCTATAAAAGCTACAGAAATTAAAAAATACGAATACATGATAATTACGATCTGTGTGCATTTTTTAGTCTAATTTAAAAAAAGTGAAATTTCCACTTCAATTATATATATATTTTTCTTATTTATTATAATTATTAAAAACTTTTTAGGACAATCTCGACCAAACTCCGATTAACTTAACCGGCGAAATCGCTTGCATTAAAAAATTTATTTAAAAAATCCCAATTATATAAATAATTTGTCTCTAATTTTTTAATTTCAAGTAACAAGAAACAAATAAATACATGTTGAACGATAAGAAACTAATAATTCTGTTCATGTTAACAAAATGATACAGTATCATTTAACAAGTTGGAATTTGGTCGGAGTCATTCTTAATCAATGCTCGTTCAAGGATCTTTTATTTTGACAAATTTGAGTAAATCGGTATATTGGTTTGCATAAGAAACGGTTGGTCTCGTTTCCACACATCTTGCTGATAACGTTAACTAAAGTGGATGTATATGTAACTTCATAAACTATTTAACGTCGAAGATAATTATGTTTTCCAACGTTTTTGCTTGGATGGCAGCAAAATGAAAATTCCTATCTTAATGTTAGCATAACATTTGTTCATACCACTCAGGCGAAATTAAGTAATCACGATAGTTGATAACTGATAGGAAACTTTACTGATTCGTTGTTGTTCGCCACGCGATAGATCATGCGATGCAATTTTTTTTTAAATTCTAACGTAATGTTATATTGCTGATACTACATTATTAATACCGGATATAATACCTATGTGCATAATGTATCATAGAAATGTGATTGAATCGCGTAATGTTAAGAAAATGTAACGATTTAAAAAGAGAAGTTTCGACGCTAGAAGTTTATACTTTTAATTTTCCAAGGATTTAATTTCACTGATAAAATTACGCTAATGCAAAATGATTCACAAGGTGTCTTAATGTTAACTTATGTAACTTAATGTTAATTTGTATAGTCAAAAAATTTATTAAAAAATCTATACAATGTTGTTTATAAATATTTTTTGTTTTTCTTTTATCAAACTGTTGCTCAATTAAGTAAATTGAAAAAGTTATTACAATAAAGAATAATTTAGAGTTTTAAAGCATCGATTATTTTGCTGAGTTGAATAATTGGTCCAATCATTAACCAATATCAATATTATCTTGCCTTTTACATCTATTACATAGCTATCAAGAAAAATATGAGGCAATCAGTTTATGACGTTTTATAAAATGAATAATCTGATTAATGCCTCGAAGATAAATCGAGCGTAATATCGTACGACGTGGCGTGAAACAGAAGAGAAATTAACATAACTGTAGCGACAATTTTACACGCATGTAATCATAATATATACTCATTGAAATTTAATTTTTTCCCGTAACCACGTAAATATTTCTTTCCTTTCATTGCAATGTAATGACTTAATACTTGGCTCGCAGGCTACATTCTCTGTCACCAACGAGTCATGCGTTGAGTTGTTTCTTCAAATTATCAGCAAGTTTGTTCATAAATTCGAATGTTTCGAGGTAATCGGCCCTGGTGACGTTGCTCATACCCTTGATGCATATGGCAAGGTCCTTGGTGAAGAAACCAGATTCGATGGTGTCGACACAAACCTTCTCTAGCGTTTCGGCAAAGTGTTGCAAACGCGGATTGTCATCGAGTTTAGCACGATGTAATAGGCCGCGAGTCCACGCAAAAATAGAGGCAATCGGATTGGTGGACGTCTCCTTGCCCTGCTGGTGCTGACGATAGTGACGAGTGACGGTGCCGTGGGCGGCTTCGGCTTCAATCGTGCGTCCATCCGGACATATGAGAACCGACGTCATCATGCCCAAGGAACCATAACCCTGTGCCACCGAATCCGACTGTACATCACCGTCGTAGTTCTTACACGACCATACAAAGCCACCGTCGGATTTCATGGCGTAGGCCACCATATCATCAATCAATCGGTGTTCGTACCATATCTTCTTCGCCTCGAACTGCTGTTTGTATTCCTTATCGTAGATCTCCTGAAATATGTCCTTGAAGCGACCATCGTATTTCTTGAGGATCGTGTTCTTTGTGGACAGGTACAGTGGATAGTTGCGCGATAACGCGTACTGGAATGAGCTGTGGGCAAAAGCGCGAATGCTCTCGTCGGTATTATATTGAGCCTGGGCGATACCGGGACCTTGAAAATCGTGGACGGTGTGCTGGATCTTCTCGCCGGAATTACCAGTCCATGTGATTTCTAGTTTACCCGGACCTGGTACTACGAAATCCGTTGCTTTGTACTGATCGGCATGTGCGTGTCTGCCAATAATGATTGGCTCCTTCCAGCAGACCACCAGACGCGGTATGTTCTTGCAGATGATCGCCTCGCGGAATACCGTGCCGCCCAGGATGTTCCTGATAGTGCCGTTCGGACTTTTCCACATCTGTTTCAGTTTGAATTCCTCTACCCGTTTTTCATCGGGCGTTATGGTGGCGCACTTGATACCGACATTGTAACGTTTGACTGCTTCAGCGCATTCTACTGTCACCTTGTCGTCTGTAGCATCACGATTCTCGATGCCCAAATCGTATGTATGCAATTCAATGTCTAAGTAGGGCAAAATGAGTTTCTCCTTGATCGAATCCCATATGATACGTGTCATTTCATCGCCAAGAATGTCGACGACTGGACCTGCCTAAAAGTTGCAAAATATTTCCAAGATTACTTAAAAATAAAAAAAAACAAGAATATTTAAGATTTTTATTTTTCTAGGCAAATCTTTTTTTATATATAAATTCCACTTTGTAAATTAATATTATAATAAAAAATTTCTTTTTTTGAAACAGTCTACATATAATTGGACTCAATATTTTAATATTGATTTCTTAAATACAGCTGCCGGTAAACAATTTTTCATGCATGAATATGTATAAATATGTATAAACATACATAAATATTCATAAGCATGTAAAATCATATACATTAAAAATAATTAAAGAAATAATTTTCGCATTAAAAATTTTTTACTGAGAATATTTCTATATTTTTAATTATTATAGGTATATGATTATATTCAATATAGATAATATTCATGATTTCCACATTAATAAAGTAAAAAGTCAGACAATCGGTAAAAAGTCCACTTTCACACGCCCATTTCTTTGAAGCAATGGAAATCAGGGTTATCATACCGGTTTTAAATCCCTCCTCCCACTTTTTGAACCTTGCCCCAGGGCATCAATTACATAACTCCTTCTCCAGAACAGAAACGGAAAAAGTGAAAATCAATCATTATGTATGTAAACATATAAAAAATTTTTACTTTTCGCGTTTCCGGTCTAGGGAAACAATTACGCGATTGATCTCCCGATGAGACAGTATCATCTTGGAGTGGACAGTTCATTCATATTTACCTTTATTTTTGCCATTGTCGCGAATGAGGCGCCGAGAATGCTCTTCACAAGTCGTTCTGTCGACGACGGATGTTGCAGCAGGTGGCGACGGAGACAATCGGATTCTCGCACAGCAAACGGGAACGACGACGATGATGATGATAACGTGACACCGTAGTAAGTGGCAGACTGCAATGAGCGTACAGTCCTTATAAAATGCGCGTACGGCTGGAGGACACGGTGGGGCGCAAGCATGGCAGCGAATAACGCGTGTCACCCACCTCTACCTATATATGCGTACTTTTTTTATATTCCCTCCCTTCTCGTATTGTTTCTCTACCTTTTTTCTTTTTTCCCTACTTCACGATGCACTTGACTCTTTTTTTTAAATCAATTGTTAACACGACGCAGTTCAGCCTAAGATTGATCTGAAATCACTGCAATGATAAGAGCAGTTATCACGCGAAGTCACATGTTTGGGTCTTAGAATACCAGACTCCAGAAATTCTAGCTCGAGCGAAATTTAATGCATCTCTATCTCTTTATCTTTCTCTTTCTCTTCCTTTCTCATGCCAAGAACGAATGCGACGTAACTGACGTAACTGACCGACGTGGGGGAGAGGCATATTACGTGTTTTATTGCGTTACTTGTTATCGTATGAATTCGTATTTTTATGAAGGGCGTGTACGAGATGCATTGATGTGACGTAATACTTGTAGTTTTGCGTGTCTATCAGCATCTATCGAGATTCTCTGGACCTTGAGATCTTCGAGATCTGAAGACTAGACTTCACCGAGATTCGGAGTCGCACTCCATCAGCGCTGTTTCGAGATACTTCGAGCACTGCTGCTACAATTGGCTGTAAATGGAAATAAAGGGCAACGTAAACACATGGATCGTGCTTTCTCTCGAAGTCACAGCGCGTCTAACGTCTAACGGTCTAACGTTCTTAGCAAGAGTCGCCATATTGCGTGAATTCATCGGAAAAATTTCACTATTAAAGGTTTCAGTTGGCGACACTTTTGTATCTAGGAGATAAATCCTCCTATTGGACATAAATTTACTCCAAATAAGTCTGTTCGCATTGCTTGAAATTTCAAAAAATTTTTGGATTAAAAGTGAGATAAATATATATATTTATTTCATTTTAAATATACAAATGTTTATAATATTATATTTAAAAAAAAATATATATATATATGTATATATATTCGGTACTGAAGAGAAGATGCTGAGCGTGGTGGAATCAGAAAAGTAAAGCAACGAGCAACGCGAACAGACCTAGTGATTAGTTGTCAGGTTGTCACAGGACGTCAGAGTGTCGTCGGCCACAGCCGGAGCAGATGGGACTGATGGGAGCAGAGGGGCAAAGCGGGGTAAAAGGTTGATTTCTCCGCGAGAGGAGACGGTGACGGAGTCGGGGGAGGCTGAATGTAAACATTCAAAGGGCATGTTTTATGTGAGGTACGGATAATCATACAAACGTGGCAGAAGATAACACGAACGTTTCATCGACATTTCGACAGACTGGATGGATATTGCGCGACAGAATTACAATCACGATACGTGCCGTGCACATTGAACGTAACGTTTCGTCTCAACATTGGTTGTACGATGTTGGCAGATGCGAAATAACGCGATGTTCTACGGTTTTATGACAGAAGCGTGAACGAGGCAGAGTGAACGATGAGCCGCCCTAAATGGGACGTGCTGTGGTCCCCCTTTCACTCGGACCGATTTATCACATGGGATAGCGATGCTTTATTGAACCTTTACGAGATCGGACCGCGTGAGAATAGCGTGCGAGACAACGATCAAACTTGTAAGTTTATTGCGGATGTACGCCAAGTTTGTTTAAAAAAATATGTATATATATATATGTCACAGTTAAAGTGTTAATTTTAATAAATATATATACTTGCTAGTCAATGTATACATTTAAATATAGCAAATGTGTATACTAACTACACAGACAACAGTAAGTCTATATATTCACTGAGTTAACACTTTGACTGTAACATATATATAATGTTCTTTTTAATGCAGATCTACAGATTTCGGAGCATTCCATTGCCGAGCTGGTCTGCTCAGTTACCATCAACAGTTATGCGAAATGCGTTGATATATATCCACAGCCAGAGCCAGAAATCGTAGCCAGTGGCCACGCGAATGGAAAGATAGTCCTTAGTACCCTTAGCCCGCCAGAGTTTGATTACCAGGGATTGGTTGGCAGAGAGTTTTGTAGAGATCATTATGTTATTGAGCGATATTATGTCTCGACGATACATTACTTCATCTTTTTAATGTATTATGAAATTCCAGTCCCAAAATACATGCGATCATGCAACGTTGTTGCCTGGAATCCTGTGGATACTCACCTGATCATGTCAGGTTTGGACAAACACAGCAAGGAGCACTCTGTGCTGCTTTGGGATGTGCACCATTGTCCAAAAGGTTCGGAGCGGCCAATAATAGAAGCCGGCATATCAGAGACTGTACATTCCGCCGCTTGGTTCAAACATGAACCAAGATGTTTGGCTCTCGGTGTTAATAACAAACAGTTGAAAGTTATAGATTTCAGAGGTACGCTCTTAAAAAATATGATTGGCAATTTATTAACGTACAATTTGTAAATATTCTTTAAATTTTTTTAGATTCTGCAAAGGTGGTAAACGTTACCCCCACAAAAGCGATATATAATCTGTCGGTTAATCCCCATAATAATTATCAGCTACTTTCACACGTTGATAATCTGATAACAATTTGGGACACTCGATGTTTTGAGAAACCGATCGTTACTATAATGCCGCTACGGCACGTTACAAAGGTGTTGTGGTGTCCCACTAGACGAAATCTAATTGGCACATTACAAAAAGATTCAGGTATATGAGTTTTAAACGATATTTCTATAATTTATGCATATAGTTTTTAAAAGTGAATGTTAAACATTTTCAAAAATAAGCTGTTAGTGATAAAAAGAAAAGCAAAAGCAGAAATGCATTTATTCTTATTTTGCAGTTGGCTTGCATCTATTCGACATTCAATACTGTGGAGCTGAGGATACCGAGCCTGGTGTTTTAGAAAGAGTGGTTCTACCACCATGGCACAGTCCTGTAAGTTTCTCATGGCATCCGAATGATGAGAATCGATTGTTGGCAATATCACTGCAAGGTATTTGATGATATTTTATATTACAATATAATCCTTCAATTTTATTCAAGATTGTTATAATATTTTTACTACTCAACATAGGCGTAACCGATTACACCGTATCTGAAAGAATAACGCTCAATTGGTCTGCTCGGTCATGCCTCATGTGGAATTGCGCTTTTAAATCGTTTAAATATATACATAGTGAAGATAGCGTTTATAAGGAACTAGAGGATATCTCGGTTTTAACTAAGAGGCGTGCTATGTTCGAATATGGCTTGCTTGTAAGTAGATAAAGTTAATGAAGACAACTTTTTGGAACTTAATAAATTTTTATTTTGTTTTTAGTTTCTGTAAGCCTCTTTCTTTAATTTTATTGTTAATAGTATTTAATCAGTGTAAATTTACATGTGTATGTGTTACAGCCGGAGTTAGCTCACAATGGTGATATTGCCGAGAACGAAACTGTAAAGAATTTATGGCAATGGTTATACCTTAGTCGCTCTTTAGTAGAAGACGGCACTGTACAGAGTCCTGATAATAAGCATCCCGGTGTGAGGTAAAATTACAATGCCTTATATTTAGAAGTATATATGTGTAAACATAATGCTTCCAACTTTTACATAGGACAGTTTTGAAATTGGATCAGCAAAATTCAGTTAATGGTTTGAAAACAGAAGTGATCCATCGTCCGTGGACGGATATAGGTACTGGTTATATGACAAAAGTTTACAGGTATAGTTTGAGTACATACAAATGCTGAGAAAGTATGGGTATTTACACCTAATGTAATTTTGATCAATACGAATCGCAGATCACCGGACAGAGAAAGATGTCTTCTTCTGTGCGGTTTGCGATTTGACAGAGAAACCAATACAGCATACGATAATGCGTATCTGGAGAAGTTAGAAAAGGAAGGCGCGTATGCGAAAGCAGCCGCGTTTGCAGTATTTAACCTCTGCCTAAGGCAAGCTATAGATATCTTAAACCGAGGTGCCAGTAAGAAACAAACGGCTATTCTAAATATGGTAGCCATGGCATTGTCAGGTTTCTCTGAAGAAAGTACTACATTATGGAGAGAGTCGTGTCAAAAATCTAAATCTCAGTTATCAGATCCTTATTTAAGAGCAACATTTGGTTTTTTGACCGCTGATAACGATTCCTATGAAAGTGTACTTGTAAGTATGCATAAATATGCGAATCAAGGTTTAATGAGATTGATATAAGGTGCCTAATCAGCTTGAGTTATAGAATGAGAATGGCATGGCTGTCGAGGATCGAGTAGCATTTGCTCTCATGTTCTTATCGGATAATAAACTGCACGAGTATTTGAAAAAATTGACCGAGAAGGTAATTGAAGATGGAGATTTAGCGGGCTTCTTGGTTACAGGTTGTGACTCGAATATGTTTTCTATTTTTATAAATATATAATTAATTATGTGCTCATTTGTAACGCATTGTCGCGCTTTAGGTACTAGTATGGAAAGTATACAATTATTGAGTAAATACTTGGAAATTACCTCAGATGTTCAGAGTTGTACTCTTATTGCTATTAGAACTTTTCCGCCTAAGTTGCTTCAAGAGAATCAAGTTCAAGTATGGATTACGAGGTATTACAACAAAGTTTCTTTTGTAAATATTTTCTTGAACTATTCCTAAAACAGGTTACATTATTTTCCCTTTCCTCTGTTTACAATCTTCAATTTTCCAATCCTTTGTACAAATATACACACATGAGATGAGAGTCGAAATTGAATTCCAAATCTGCAGATTATAAGTCGATTATTGTCATACAGTCATGCATCGGTTCTCTTATAAATTTCGTATGATCAGGCTTCTGATTTTGCATGTTGCTGTTACAGTTACAGACATCTCTTGAACGCGTGGAAATTATGGTTTCAAAGAGCTAAATTTGATATTGTCATGAGATCCTCGACACCACAAGAGAGACCGCCGCAACAAATACATATATCTTGTCACTTTTGCGGCAAAAGTATATCTGCTTCTATGCAAGGACTGAGCAGGACGAGAGTCCCATTTGGCAGATTAGGCAGTACGCCTAACAAATTAAAGGTACATTTCTGTTCTTTAGCTAGATTTTAGTATGATCAATCATTAATATATTTATTTATCAGATCTCGGATTTTTTAATGGTATAGAGCTTTTTTTCAATATCTTTTATAGATGACGGCGTGTCCAAATTGTCGCAAACCTTTGCCACGTTGCGCAATATGTTTGATGCACATAGGTACCGTTAGTGGACTGCAAACAGCTCCAAGTCCTGGTGGTACCAGGAACGAGGAATGCAATGCTAAGCTTACGGAGTTTAATAGCTGGTTTTCATGGTGTCTCACATGTAAACACGGAGGACATAGCGAACATATAGCTCAGTGGTTTCGGTAATGATACAAGATCGTATTTGTTATAAATATATGTTAGTTAATAAAATATAAGTGAAAATCAGCCGATACGTGAATAATGTAAATAAATGAAAACGCCTTATTCAAAGTGGAATCTTACTGCTTAATGATGGTTGCTTTCCTTTTAGGAAATTCAGTTGACACAAACATTGTTCTAGTTTCGTTGCATTTTATGGAAAACAAAAATAGAACGACACTCGTGTATCCTATAAGAAAAGCAGCCATTTTCTATGTGAATATTTATATACATTTTTCAGTTCCTTAAACTGCGCGCAAATAAAATATAATCAAAAGTTAACGTTGAAGGATGTAAATGTAAAACATATGTTGCAGCAAATTTGCAACGACGCTATTAATTTCTGTACTGCTGTTTCAGACAACATACTGAATGTCCCGTAACGTCTTGCAATTGTCGCTGCTCATCTTTGGATTACACGCGTAATGCAACTGTGACATAGGTATAATTACAAAAAAATTTAAATATTCTTATATATATATAAATATATATATTCTATTGAAATAACCTATTTATTACAAGATTTTGCATGTTTTGTATACTTGTTAGATCCCACCGGATCAATTTTATGTACAGATGAAGGAATGCATGTTTGAATGCTTTTCTTTTATATTGCAGCATTCCTTGTTATTTTTATGGGATATATGCCAAACCAATTAACAAAATGTAAAAAGAAAAATGTATGAAAAGAAGTGAAACACAGTAAACGCAATTTGTATATGTAAATTTTTTGGATCTTTGTTTCTGTAGAATACTCCTAACTGATTCTTAATCTCCATAGAACACTCCTTCTAACTGATTCCCCACTGCACAGCGCACACTCACCATTGCATTATAGCCATTTGAATCTGCAGCAAATATTTGTTAAGTACACCTTCGACACTTTAGAAAAAACTGATGACAAGGGAATATCTTACTCACCAAAGTCTTTAGTCATACTTGGAGGGAAACATACAAAGCTGCTGCAAGACATTGTAGACTTTGACTTTACCGTACCACGCACCTCTATGTAACCTGATGCATTGTTGTCGAATGGTTCGAGAAACGTCACGTTAATTCGAGCGTCGTCGGTCGTCGTGATCTCTGCACTCTTACCATCAGAACTTTTCTACGAATTGTCCCAAATGCATTTTACTCACGTAAATCATCAATACAAAATTATAAAAGATGTATTAGGCGCAATGCCATCTTATAACGAATCAATAATAACCGAATTGATTCAGTTTAGTTGATTTCACTTTTTAAAATAAAATAGCAGAGACTTGTTCAAGTCCTGATTAATTTTATTAACAGGAAATATATTAACAATATATATTAAAAATATTGTTTAATTAATAATAATTAATATTTATTGTAATAAAATGCGGTAAAAATAATTTTTGTTGATGGTGATCATCATAACCTATATAAACTGTATAAACTAACCTAAGTTAAAATATTTTCATACCTCCGTAATTCTGCCAAGCACGATCGCTTCCTGATCGATGCGTTGCGCTAATCGCTTACCCAGAATACGTATGTCTGACATTTTTGCAAGTTATTTGTGATGTATTCCTATAATAATTAATACTTCAACAGTGCGCAAATAATTACCGCTACACTTCGTAAATAAAAGCACAACGACACCGGCAAGTGGCGGCAAAACAACATGAAGCTTGGCGCTAAACGACAGATCGGCAAAGGTTGCGTTTGTAAACGTTACCCGAGTGCTTTCGTGTATCGTTTTATCCTTGTTCACTCAATGTTAAACAAAGATAGAATGATACACAGAGGCATTCGGGTAAGGTTTCTGAACGCAGCCAGAAATAGTTGGAAGTGACGTATGCGTAAAAGGTTCAGTTGGTAGTTTTTTGTCGATGCATCGAATTGTAGTAATTACATTATCAATTAAACTTATTAAACTACTAATGTCCTAATTTACACCGATCTTTTAATATCCGTACCAATTAATAACTTTCTATAAAATCATTTTAATTTCAGTAATAATGTTCTTAAAGAATTTAATGTACATACTATGGTGATACAATTATCAATTAAGATGATCAATTAAATTACAGTGCCATGTTTACATGCATCGTCGAAATTAAAATAATTTAATAGAAAGTTACTATTTAGTATGAGTTTTATCAATCAGCGATGTAAACTAGGACTGTATACCTATTTTATTTTAAGTACAAGTGTAAATTACAATTAAAGAACAAATTTAACAATTTTGTGAAATATCTTTAATTAGTGTAATCATCAATGATTTTTTGCTTGTACATGCATTACAATTGTGCTTTTAATTTACATATTTATTGAATAAAAAATAAATTTACAATCTCGTTAATATAATCTCACACACATATACATATATATATATATATATAAACAAACAATAAACATTATAAACATATAACGTTATAAACATACAACATTATAACATGTTATCAAAATTCTTTTGATGAAAATTTTTCTCAGAATTTTTCATATGTGAATTCTGAAATATACTCTAAGATTTCTTATTCTATAGTTTTGATTTCTAATAAAATTTTATAAAATCTGAAAAAGTTTATATTTTTTTAGAAATCATAAACTGAGAAATCTTACAATATTTATGTAAATGTTTGTGTGTGTATATAGATATATATTATATACATAAATACACATAGCTTACACCGAGTTCTAGTTTATTTCGAACACTTGATATGCATACTAACTAGTAACCCAAGCAGAACAACAAGTTATGATATCAAAATGACTCCAAAATAATCATTAAAAGTCATTTTTCAATCATTTGTGATTCATTTTAATGTTATTTTGACATTTTTGTGACTTGTTATTCTACTTGAGAACTCTATTAAATTATCTTAATTTCGATAATACATTTAAAGAATGGAGTACTAAGCTGATTCCATATGTATCTAGATGATTAATTAAATAACCATATTGTGTATACATTTACACGCATCGCCGAAATTAAAATAATTTAATAGAAAATTACTGGTTAGTACGCGTATTAAGTGCCCGATGTAAACAAAGTCATATAAATGCATGTGTGTTGCCAAATGTATATATTCTTAATTGTAAAATATTTGCAATCATAAACAAATTGTCGTTCTATATGTTTATGTATTAATCTTGATAATTCACGAATTTATTAATATATATATATAAAATTAAAAAATTCAAACATTCAGAATTAATTAATAAAAATTAAAATAGCTCTCATGAGATTATACATGGCACGACATTCTGCTACCATTTTATTCTCACCTATGCCGAATTGCGTAATACAAGGATTGGACAACAAGCGTAAGCATATCAAGTAATTCTGTGATTTGCTACATGCAGTGACTTGTTGTATCGTAATTTTTAATACTTGTTCTATATCTCGTCTGATCTCATGCATCAGATGTGGATCTTCTCGGTATTTGTCCAATATAATCTGCATTTTTTGTTTCATACTATACGTAATTTTATTGGAGTAATTCTTCTCAAATAACATATGGAAGTCCTTGATTGTTAAGGGATTGATTTCCTGATCGATTATATTAGTCCTTTTAGTATATTTCAGATAGATCGACTTTGCATTTTCTGATAACTTTTCCACTGATAAAGTATCTTTGTTAACGCATTCTGATATTTTTGTACCTAATTCTCGTATATTATTCTCAAGTGTCTCCTTATCATATATGTCGTTCTTATGTGTGTCCATATTTTTATTAGCTATTATATTTGGATTCAGATGTAGTAGCATTTTTTTCGCAGCTTCTTGTTTAGCAGACTTCTTACACTGTCCCGTGCCTCTTTCACATAGTGATCCCAAGCTGACTTTTACAGTAAATGTTTTGATGTGAGGTAATCCTTCGTCGTAGATAAGTTCGTACTGAATGTCTTTCGTTGATATTTTTTTTTGTTGGCAGAACTCCTGCACATAGAATAAAAATTATATTATTCTGATGATTAGTCTTTGAACTGTAATATTTAACAGGTGACTCATGAAACTTACTTGCAACATTCCAATGTAATTATGTTCAACAGTGAACTGTTCATTTGAGTTGTATTCTTTTGGAAATGGTACACTTGAAGATGTGTTGCAAACTTTTTCGGGGTTTTGTGGTATGTTTGTAACTATTGGTGAAGTAACTACTTGTGAAGTAACTACTGATAATGGAATTTTACGATTTGTGGCCAACAGTGACAGCATGTTTCTTGCAGCATTATGCTTGGCTTCTTTTTTTGTACTCCCTGTACCCTGTGTTATCAATTCTTTACAAGCCACGCTACATATAAATTGTTTCTTGTAATTAATATCTTTTTCGGAAAAATTATAAATAGGCATAAATCCTTGTTTAATTGATAGCTCTTGTAACAAATTAATTTCTGACTTAGCCATCTTATAACTGAAAAATACACAAAATATTTTGTTTAAGAAATATAAGATAGTAACACACATTACATCACACAGAAGAGTTTGCAATTATATATTTTTTTAATATGATTGACTAGTATATTAAATCTAAAATACATCTATTTAATTAAAAATGTAAAATTTAATATAATTTATAGAAAAAACATAACTGTCAAATCTCAACAACTGAACTGTCAAAATCTTGACAAAATTTTATCTGCAACACGAAATAATACTGTTTTATTTTTCACATATAAATTTTTTTTTTCCTTTATATACTCGACGAATCATTCCAGAATGTTCTCTTACCGTTGATAGTTCAATGTAGGACAAGATTATTTGACGTAATCTCGATTATTCCACGTCACTATGTTTCTCGTTTATTCGAACGAAATCAGACACTGCGTTTCTCTATTCCGTATTTTATTAGTTCCTTTTTTATACATTTATTTACACAAATATTCGATGAAAAATTTACTGTTGAAATAAAAAAGACTGTAGATTAATACTGGCCTCTGTTTTTTCTATTTCTTCCTCAGTGGACGGGGGCTGGCTTCAAACAGTCCGAACTACTTTTTACTAGTATCCAGAGGTTCAAGTGGTAGAATCGAACAATGACTCATTTCTTCACTTCTAGATAATTACTGATAACTTTGTCCATGGGATATCTTCTAAATATCTGCCAGATATCTCAGTTACTCATGAAATATTTGGGAGACATCTGATAGATAAAATTATCTAGAAATTGGCTATAAGAGTGCTTCCTTATGATTGTCAAAATTTCGGAAAATAGAATCTCGAAAAAGTAATACGACCAATCAGCATCATTTAGCGCGTTCATGTAACGCATAATATGATTGGTCGCATTACTTATCGACTATCATGGGATAGCACCCTAAAGCATTTTCTATATGAAACATTTGTTTCATATCGAAGCGCAGCGATATCGGAGCACAGGGAAGATCGAGTTACACTACCGAGGCGAGATAATGATTTTTGATTGGTAAGCAATCATTATCTCGTCTCGGTAGTGTAACTCTTTAGGCCTGTTCTTTTTGGCTGAACTTTTGCACCAGTTCATCTTTCTTCCTCTTCTTTACTCCTGGAGAGAAAAGGAAGAAAGATGAACTGGTACAAAAGTTCAGCCAAAAAGAACAGGCCTTTTATCTTCCCTGTGCTTCGATATCGCCGCGCTTCGATATGAAACAAATGTTTAAAAAATGCTTTAGGGTGCTATCCCATGATAATATCTGCTTGGAACGCTAATGAATTTGTTCTTTGGGCGACTCAGTATTCTCTACGCCACATAAAGCTATCAGCTGTCAGGGCTCGGTAACAGGAGTTTACTAATACAGTGGTAGAAGTTTACTAATACAGGGGTAGAAGTTTACTAAACAGTGAGAGCAAAAAGTATTCGTACAAGGACATTTTTTATAAAAAAAATCTTATTTGTAGAAAATAAATATTAATTAGCAATTTTATACGATGAATACATTCTGTTCTAACATAAACAACCGAGCTTTGCATGTATTTCTGATTTTAGAAGTTAAATTTTTTGACTTAAACGTCGAATCGACGTCAAATTAATGTTGAAATCATCGTATCGATATTCATTCGACATCAATTCGATGATTTATTTCTTGCTGGATAATGTTTACTTTTTAAAAAAACATTTTTTCTGTACGAATACTTTTTGCACTCACTGTATATAAAGTGGAGGAGATCAGATGGAGGAGACCAGAGTATCGATCATGTAACTTTTTCTCTAGAACGGAAACGTGAAAAATGAACATTTTTATGTATTATACATATGTACATATATATACATACAAAAAATTTTCACGTTTCCGCCTTGGAAAAAGTTGTATGATCGATACCCAGGTCTCTGTTCGAATCCCGGAGCACCCTGATATTTTTCTCGTGTTGTTGCTTATTTTTTACAGAATATAATAATAAGCTAAGCGTTCCAGTGACCGAACGTGTACATCGACGTTACCGATTCTGTCGAAAATTTTCACAAACTGAGGAGTGACCACCTTTCTACATGAATGCCCATGTCCATGCCTTTCCTTTCTCTCGTTCAAGAAGTTCGTACAAAGTCGCTGATTCCGTTCTCGATTTCCAAAAGAGAAAATTCTTTGAAAAACCTTTTTGAGAAGATTTAGGGCCCAGCACACAAATAGTCGTAACTGACAACGAGTCGTAGGCCGGTATTCATAGTCGATTCTTACTTCAAGACGGTCTTAAAGTAATTTCTTAAGACGCTAATGCGGCCCTCTAATTGGTTCGTGACTTCTTAAGACGGTCTTAAATATAAGAATCGACTATGAATACCGGCCGTGATCATAGATCAACGCAAAATATTTTGATCAATCTACAACTTACGTTCTACGACTCAGTTATGGTCATCTTTGTGCTTAGACTTTTGTTTGGTTGACGAGTTAAATTTGAACGGTATCCTGCTTCTTCATATTCCTAATTTTATTTCTACATCAAAATTTGATTTTCTTTCTGGATTTCTATTGAATCTTGTGGAATTTATCAAATGATATTGTTTCTTGTTCTGCAATCATCAATCTATAGGTCTGTTCTTTTTGGCTGAACTTTTGCACCAGTTCATCTTTCTTCCTCTTCTTTCCTCCTGGAGAGAAAATGAAGGAAGATGAACTGGTGCAAAAGTTCAATCAAAAAGAACAGGCCTAATATTACACCATCTTTTAGAAGAATTTTTCCACGTCACCATTGCGGAATTCTTTCATAATTCACTGACAATAAAACCAATGAGTATTTGGAAGCGATTTTTGAATCAATGATCAAAACGAGAATCTTATCGTTTACTAGTCTCAAATCATCTCCATCCGAATAGCCGATCTTGGAGTCTTGAGAAGCCGTGGTCACATAGGGATACCTTTGATCTCAACGTGCCGGTCACGTGATCATTCGTTATCTTAATGTCAGGGCCGAATAGAAGAAAGTATCCTATCTATTTTCCAAAGATACTTGTAGAATTGTTGATGTACGTACTATGGAGGCTGTGTTCCAAATTTACTGCCAGTACTAAAAATGCTACGGTTTACGTTACGTGCACTATAGATTTCCAGTACTGGCAGTCAATTTTGGAACACAGCCGGAGTAATTAATGCCTAGCCATCCGAAGTTGCATACATATCTGAGAAAGCATAAAAAAGAATGAGAAGAAAGCATGACCAGGCGTTTGTGCATATCCCTGTACATACATATATACGTTCCTGTCGTTTTGCATTTCATTAGATCCAAAACAAAAGCTGCGCAGTCATGCTTGCGCGACACGCATTTTTTCGTGGAGTGTCCCTACTGGTTAACTGTATCGTGTTGACTGTGGGATATAAACACTACATCTTATCATACTCTACGTGTGGTCTCTGCACCCCGAGGAGGTTATCACAGGATCCTTCGATCTATATTTATGCATGTAACCCTTTCGATGGGTCGGATATTCAAGCAAGGGCCGATTTGTAGAAGAAAAAAAGTTCGTACAAGGTCCTGTTGATTTTATGTAAATTCTACCTGATAATAAAAGGTTCATTTTGGACTTTAACACCTCTGAAAAATATAATAAAAATCCACAAAGCAATTGTTTTTTATTTAGTAATTCATGAAACTTTGAGGGGAAAGAAACTTATCTGAAATGTCATAATGTTAGCCTCCTAGAGATGCTAAATAATATTTGCACTTGATTTCGCATTCCACGCCAAGATCCTTGCATCCTACCGTTTTTTCTACAGAGATATGAGATAAAATTTTGATATTCTAAAAATATTTTTTAATTTAAGAAACTTCTATATGAAAAAGCATTTTAAGCAAAAAACGTTTTATTTAAAATTATATTAACACACCAAGAAAAGAATAATGTAATAGAATTAATGCTTTTTCATATAGAAGTTTCTTAAATTAAAAAATATTTTATTAAATAATACCTATCTCATGTGATAATTTAAATAATTTATTATTCTATTTTTTTATATTTGATATTAAAAAAAAACTTTCGCTTACCGTGTGCCAATATCTCGACAAATTTCTGGATTCGCCAATGATTGAATGGTATACTCCAACGATGTAAGAAGAGCATGTAAGTTTGTACATCATATCGATTTACGCTGAATGTCGAAATGTATTATTTGAGTGTCTTTACGAACAGACATAAAGGCCCATTTTCTTTTCCATCAAAAATGCATCTTCCAAGCTCTGGATTCTGCGATTATTCGGGTATTTGCATGGTGAAAGTAATATACTTTTACCATAAGTATTTGTAGTTGAAGGAAGTTAGGTGATACGTATTTGTTTTTTAATTTTTAATTTTCGGAATTTGAATAAATTTCTGAAATACAGAATGCAAGTGAAAACCTTCGCCTTATGGCGATTGATAGAGGAAGGTTCAAAATTTTTTCAGCTATAATTTAGAATCTTGCAGTACCAATCGTTTAGGTTTTATTAACTGTTTAAAACTTTTGTTTTTGATCCAAATGTGTGAACTGTTCCTGTATATAATCGAGAGTTAAAAATTAAATGTTGCAGTTGCTGAAAGAAAAGAATGATAGAGGAAATAATTGAACAATAATGCCCAATTTTCTGCAAAGCTAATAATGAATACAACATTTTTTCTGAGAGCTTTATTGTCACATGAATAACAATAAAACGACTGACATGTCTGGCAGCCGTTAAAGAGCTGCCTATTATAAACGTTTATACAAATTGAATTTCTATTCGATACTATTTGATCACCATCGTGACGCAAGATACGAGAAAAATGTTAGAAATTGAAAGAAAAGTACATACAAAAGCGCCACTATCCCACGCCTTACTTTACAAAAAAGGTCTGCTCAGAGTGACATTAGCTCAGTGTGTTTTGTATAAGGGTTGTTTTCGGCTTTGCAGCATTAGATGCGTTTAGGAAACTAAAGGTATGTCTAAAAATGATAACTTTGTACAACAAAAAAACCTTCCGCTTATATTAAATATCTTATTTGATATAATAAATTAAAATCAATAAAAAAGAAAGGAATTTTTTCTTATATCAATATCCATTTTACTCTTATCAGTTATTTATCATATTTAACTAGTTAATAAAATGAATAATTAGTTAATAACTAATTAAATGTTAATCAAATCGAATGTTACATATAATTATATAAATCACATTATTTTACAAATGTGTTAATTCAATTAAATATTTTCCAATTCGTTTTGATTAAAAAATTCCAATTCCATCAAAAAATTCCATTCTTTTTTATTAAAATTTCGTCTATATTCTAATTTATAAACTGAATTAGAAATATTATAACTCATGCTAAGAAATTTTTTCGTTAGAAAAAGTTTACATCATTATCATCATTCATTATTATATTCATTCTTTATTAATAATGAAACCATTCATAAATAAAATAGTATCTCAAAGTAAAATCACATAATAATTGCAACCATTGAGTTCCTGAAACGCATCCTATTTATGTCGACTATGTTTTACTAAAGTTATATATTTATTTCTATAATGCAGTTCCGTTCGGTTTTTACACTCATTGTGTGTTTTGAAATGTCCCTTGCACTTCTTCCCTCAATCATTTCGGAATGGCCAACAAAATCGGTCTTTTTTATCTATATTTCAGTAGAAAAAGTACACAGTATGGTACAAGCGATTCTTGCAGTGGTGCAAGTTTCAAAGCATTTTTTCAAGAACATATGTTTTGTACAAAGGATTCGATATTTGATTCGTTGGAATTTTTAGAACGTTAGGAGCCTTTTGATGATTTGTATTGCACATAAGCAACGT